AATGAAAAGTTTGTTAGCATTAATCTTGTTAGAGTATACACTTCATAGATTTTTATTTCACATCGACACTTTTTTACCTGAGTTGACATAAAGAGCCAAGATGATTTGTTTGTTCACAAACTTCCAAAGCACTTAATCGTATTATATACTCAGAGACATGAAAGTGGCTTGCTATGCAAGAAAATTATTGATAAAAAAATACCTAATTGTGATGAGTCAAAGACTCGTGGCTTTGCCACTCTCAAGAATAGCATTAGGAAAACGATGGACAACTACTCTATGCAAAAAAATGTTACCAGCTTTCCTTTAGGAAAGATAACGAAATAAAGTCTAAAGTACTAGCCCTCGGAAATACTTTAGGTTGTTTTATTTTAAATAGATATATATATGAATAAGTTATATAATTGATTAAATACTATGCTTCTAAAAGTCGCTTTTGGAATCTAATATGCAATTGTCTCTTTTTATAATCTATTTCACGTTAAATCTATTTTAGGTATATTATTGCGGAGCATATTGATATGATTTAATTAAGATCGTTCGGTCAAATCTGAGATATGCAAATCCGAGACATACGTATTTGATTAATTATACTACTTTTACTTGAAAAAGTAAATGAACGTCCATAGATTTTTACCATTAAAACATGGTTGAAACAATGTTGAAGTGTGGTTGGAAAAACAATAAATTATACAATATATCTTAATATAATCACGGATATATGAATAAAGTATGGTTAAAGTACTGCCGAAGTACTGTTAAAATACTTACGATACACTTATAAAAGCAACAAATCCCACCTTTTCACAGTCTATTTATGCCACATAGGGCGCCTTTCGGCTTGTCGGAATAAATATTATAAAATATGATTGAATGGACCGATTCTCAAATACGTATAAGTGTAGAAATAGAAATGAAGAATATCATAATTTTGGAAGGAATCGAATCGGATTTTGGGATAGCATCGCAACCAGAATTAATAGAAAACATAATACGAGCTTTAATGGACACCAATGTAAAGAAAAGTTTATGAATCTTGTTCGGGATTACAATGTATGTATGATATATTATTTTTTTGCTTACATCTTAGCTATTATGACTAATAATTTACGTCAATTAGTTGATGTGCGATTATATGGCAGGGAATCGAAGAGCACGAAGACGTCGAACGGGTGTGCAATATTTTGATCAGTTTCGTACGCATTTTTGGAAGAGGCCTGAAGATGAATTTGATAGAATCCGTACTATTAATACCACAAACCATAGGCGAAATAGAGATTTGGGAAATATAACACCAGCACTATCTATCGAGGAGGTTGAACATGAATTAGGTCAAACATTGCCAGGGAATCGAAGAAGCCGAAGAAATTCGGTTGATAGTCGAAGAAGTCGTAGACGATCAGCATCCCCATCCCGTGATACAATAAACACTAATACAAACAATCCTGATGCGATGAATCCTGAAACATCAACTCTTCAACCACCGCCTTATGGGGCAGATGAAGCGCAAAATATTAGCCTGAGACTAGCTCACGCCAATTTTCCAGAAATGAATCAGAGCCATGTCGTTTCTAGCCACAAAGTAGCTAACTCTGGCAATAATTTAACCCCTAATTTGCTAAATATGTCCTTATCTCAAAACGAAAGTGATGTTAGTATGCACGATGTAGGTAGTCAACCACTCTTTCATACGGAATCGATAAATTCAGAGGAAAATACCTCTTATCACCACACACAAAATTAATATCAGAAAAAAAAAAGAACGACCATTTAGGCTGATTGCTTTATTAATACAATATAAAATACATGTAAATCTGTTATTTTTTGGTAATTTTTTCTTGCACGCGTCGCTTCTTAGATCCGGGCTCATCACAAGCAGAAATCCTATCTTTCAATCCATTATCTCCGAGATTTTGTGATCGACAAAAAAAATATCTAATTACCAATTGAGACATGTATCTGAAAATTAGGTTTCACGAATAACATGTGCTGGAATTATTATTAGTATGCGCGGATTGAATAACGATATTCAGATTTTGTATAAGTCTCACCGGTATTTAAATCATAATAATAACCTTCATCATCATCGTCAGAAAATCCACAGAACCCATCATCATCTTTAGACGCATTAGCATCCTCGCTCCGTGAATCATCTTCGTTGTTATCGAAGGAATCTT